TTTTACCAAAAAAGCCTCAAGTAAAAAACTTTTTAACAACTAAGAAGGAAAATTTTGATGATTGAAAATAATCACAAAAGATTCGAAAGTTCGACGAAATATTTTACTCAATTCAATTTTCATTAGCATTAGATGAGTTCGCATTTCCCAAACTCTCATGCTATTCAAGTAAATCCCAAATGTCTCCTTCGTGAGATGGCATTATAGCATTGCTAACTTAACTTTACTTGCCCATTGCCCAATTTTCCTTATGAGCAATTTGGCTGTTCCTAGTCAAAAAGGATACTTTTAACTTCTGTATCTTAGCAAACATTAGAATAAGATTTCAAAGTCGACAAAATGAAATTTCTATGACTAAACCTTGTTATGAAAGGGGAATAGCAGTTAGCATAATTAACGAACGATGATGCGGAGTTTTGGTGTAAAACTAATTAGGACTATTCAAACATGACGAGTTGAAATGGAAGCAACTAAAGACATGCTTGTACTACTTAGCCTTTAGCAAAAAATACCTATCAGATAAAATGTTTATAAATTACACCTAAAAACAGTTACCCTTTTCCCATTTTCTCAAGATATCAACGCGAAGTCAAAGTGTTGCCATCTACAGATAGCTTTTATAGACAAAACCTAGCACATCCTACCACAGCCATATCATCCCAAAAATAGCATAACATTACTTAAGCTGTCAATACACAAATTTCTTCTTCTTCTTAATTGGCGTAGACACCGCTAATGCGATTATAGCCGAGTTAACAACAGCGCGCCAGTCGTTTCTTCTTTTCGTCCATTCGGACAACATGACCTAGCCAGCGTAGCCGCTGTCTCTTAATTCGCTGAACTATGTCAATGTCGCCATATATCTCGTACAGCTCATCGTTCCATCGAATGCGATACTCACCGTGGCCTACGCCAAGGACCATAAATCTATCGCAGAACTTTTMTCTCGAAAACTCGCAATGTCGACTCATCAGTTGTTGTCATCGTCCAAGCCTCTGCACCATATAGCAGGACGGGTATTATGAGTGACTTTTAGAGTTTGGTTTTTGTTTGTCGAGAGAGAACTTTGCTTCTCAATTGCCTACTCAGTCCGAAGTAGCACCTGTTGGCAAGAGTTATCCTGCGTTGTATTTCCAGGCTGACATTATTGCTGGTGTTTAAGCTGGTTCCAAGATAGACGAAATTATCCACGACTTCAAAGTTATGACTGTCAACAGTGACGTGAGAGCCTAGTCGCGAGTGTGACGACTGTTTGTTTGATGACAGGAGATATTTCACAAATTTACGTACCTCGAAAATTATCTTCTCAGATATATGGCTTAATGGCTGTATCAATAAAGTAATGCTAAATCTTCGTGTAGTTCAGGAAACGCAACTGATTCCCCAAAAATTTACCATTGGGCGCGGATTGTGATACGGCGACATCAACGGGGCTTATTTCTTTTGAAATGAGGCAAGAAATGCCCTCACCGTCAAGAGCGAACATTATAACATAGTGTTGACCGACCTTCTTTTCGAGAATTTAATGTAATCAATGCGAATGATCTTTATTTCCAAGAAGACGGTGCGTCACCTCATCACCAATGAAATTTATTTATAACACATACTCAAAAGGTCGATTTTCTTTATGGCAGAAATTAATGTAAAGAAAGTATTAGTGAAAGTTTACATATTTTTTTGGCAATATTTAAACTAAAGAAAATGCTGTAATCGTTGATCCTTTAGTTTTAAAACTTCCCAAAAGAAAGAATAGAAATAATATGCTCATAATTAGAACCGTATCTAATAATTGTAACAAACAAAACATCACCCAGAAATTGATATTAAATTCCTCGGGTAAACTATGTTTCAAACAATGTATTTTGCTGAGTTGGTAGAACTGTCCTTAATTACTATGCCAAATATGAGCGCGACCTATGAACCAGTTTGTTAACAGCAACTGCTTAAGTCGATACATATTAGTAGTTGGTTGCAATTTTACAACGGAATCATTGCGAATGTTGGAAAAGGCTTACGGTCGAGAGATTGTTGAAGACATGCATAGCTCTGGACGACCTTCGACCTCCCCAAGTGATGAAAATATTAAAAAAAAAAGTGAAGGATGGGATATTTGAAAATCGTCAGGCAAGTGTTAGAGAGATGGCAAGAGAGATCGACAGCTATCGCGAGACGGTGTGAAAGATTTTGGTAGATTATTTGGGTATTGCTAGACTTGTCTCGCAAAGCTGATCTTTTTCGAAAAGAGTACCGTAAACAGGTCTCTTTGGACTTGATTGATTGTGCGAATTCCAATAACTCATTCATTGATGACTGCCGATGAGATATGGGTTTATGGATTTCACATGCAAAGAAGTTAGCAATCATCAGAATGGAGGGAGAAAACGAGCCGAAATAAATAAAAGCCCGCTTATAAATCGACGTGAGGATCAGCTCATTATTTTTTTCGATAGTCGTGAATTGGTCAATGAAGAGTTATATTTGGCCATATTGAGGCGTTTGCGCGAAAACATCCATCGAAAACGGCCGGATTTGTGGAAAAACACATCATCGATTTTATAGGACGATAATGCGCCATCGCATCGAGTCATGATTGTGACCAAATTTAACGACAAAAACGCAATGAATACCATTGGTCAACTACCGTATTCGCCAGATTTGGCTTCGTGTGATTTTTTCCTGTTCCTTAAATTGAAACAGCCCCTCCGTGGAACCCGTTTTCAGACGATCGAAGAGATAAACCAAAATTCGCTTAATGAACTGAAAGCCATCCCAAAAAGTGTTGATGAAAAGTGTTCATTGGACCAAAATATGCTCTAAAGAGACCTTTTTGCAGCAGTGGAGCACTTTTTTTTAAAGCCGTCAGAGATCGCTTATAATATGATAAATGATGAGAGTTTTAGACACAAACATCTCATTATAACATATATTGTTATACAAATATTTAAAAATTAAGTAATTAAGTTTTACAATGAACAAGTGCAACATAACTCCACCCAATTTTTGGCAACACAAATTTGGCTTAACTCACTACTTCCAGTTGGGCACGCAAACGCATTACAATTTGCTGTGAATTCTTGCTAATCGGTAAAAGTTGAAAAGTTAACGGCACACTTAGCTCGTTGCGTGAATTCGCCCAGGGGTACGATGCATTCATTTTATTATCATTTATGTAGCTGCACGCATACAAACACATGCATCCGTAGACTCCTTAGGCACTTACAACTGAACTGTGAGATTCTGGCATTGTTTTATGCTGCTACTCAGCAATTTTTACGCCACTTGTGTACGAAACTTGTGCGCATTGCAAAGTGGAAATTATTGCTTTGTTTGCAAACTTATCCATTTTTGTGCCTGCATCTTGTGATGTGCTTGTGCTTTATGATTTCCAAACTGTGATTACAACAAAGTTTGTGAAAACATTTAATTTTTCCCATTTCGGGTTTTCATATGTCCAAATGGCTAAATAGCAGAGATAAGAGGAGATAAAGAGACTCGTAGTTTATAAAATGCTTATGCAAATTTTTGCAGAAACTCGGTGTCAGTTGTAAACCGCAAAATTACACTTTTACAAGTGATAAGTTTTAACGAGAATCTCTGTTTGTGATTCAAAAATGAAATGTTATGCCATGTTACGTTATGTTTTGTCTTAAATTTGAGGTGGCAAAACTCACTCAGTGGAGTGGAAGAGTTACAAAAAGGAACAGAATTTAAGGTAAAGGAGCACACCACGTCTGACAGCTTGAATAAAAGCAATTTGTAGGAATTGAAAATGAAAATAACTACAAGGACTGCTTTAAAATTTTAAGTGTATAATTATACATATTTGAAAAACACACAGTTTCGAAGAAAAGATTAAATACTTTTCGATTTACACACGTTCTCCGACGACGCTAAGCAAAAGGTTCCGGACTACTGAAAACAAAAAAAAGAAGATTTTGTTGAAAAAACAATCAAAAACTGACAAAATGGCAGACTTTTTAATAAAAGTTGCATTTTACCCAAATTTTTGTCTGTCCGACGTTTTTGAGCTGATTTTGTTCAGCGATGAGGCCAATTTCTAGGTCAATGGGTATATAAACAAGCTAAATTGCGGCATTAGGGCCGAAGAGCGACATGAAGAGATTCAAGAGCTGCCATTTTTAAAAATGTAAATAAGGTTATTAAAATTATTCAACAATTTCTAAGCGAAAGTCATATTTATTTTTTTCCTGTCGAAATAAAGCTTTTTGTAAAAAAACTTCGAAAACAGCTACGCAATCAGCAGAAATTACGAGATCTAATTCTGAAAAATTAGAAATTCCATGTACACCTCTTCACCCATCTACACCCACTTCAGAAGTTCTTAAATGGACTTAATAGGCATTTGAAACAGTTTTAAATTTTACGAGTTTTTAAATATCTTCCGTCTAAACTATGAGATTTTCAGAGTTTTTTTTTTTTAATTTTTTTTTTTTTTTTTTTTTTTTTTTTTTTTGAAATAAAGAATTTTACATAATTACATACTCAGACATAGGAGTCGAATAAAATTATAAACAAGGAAAACACGTTAACTTGATTTTGACTTATCAGTTTGTATGGCAGCTATATTCTATAGTTATCCAATATTAGTGGTTCCGACAAAAGAGCAGCTTCATAGAAAGAAAAGGGCGTGTGCCGAATATCAGATCCATATCTCAAAAACTGACTTGCTCATCACGCTGACTATATATGTACATATGTATATAATTAACTTCACAGAAAAATAGAATAACCCTGGTATAACAACAGTGCAATTACTGCTATTTTCTGTAATTATGAAGTGTGTTAAATTAATTAATTGAATTTGAAATTATTAAGTTATTATATTAACATGAAAATTGCTTTAAAACCTACTTAATAACTCTTAAGTCTCCAAAGAAGCAGCGTCATGCTGAAGAAAAATGTCAATGATATTTTTTAAGCGGTTGCATTAAGTGGATATCATATTTAATTTATACATTTTTTTATTAATTCATTTGCAGGATGCCGCAATCTGCGTTAAATTCCACTTGGAGCGCGAGAAGAATCCGCACAAATTCAACAGTCGCATGAAAAACAAGTTGTGGTACTTTGAATATGCTACTTCAGAAACATTTGCGGCGTCATGCAAGAATCTGCACGAGAATATCGAAATTGTGGTAAGTGGCATGGAAGACAGGTGAAAATCCGCACTGCGAAAGTACTGTATGTGTGTGTGTAGATTAAATAAAATTATGAATTAACTGACTGTAAAAGCCGCACGAAAAGGTAACACGAGCAAAAAGTACCGTTATACCTGAATTTTTGTGCATAAGAAGTTAGTATATGTACATATATTTATGTTTGCTCCATATATGCGTCAGCTAAGTAAGTGTTAAGCACCTGCCAAGTGAGTGTGAAGTGCTACCAGCTTTCAGGCGAAACTTTTCCAGTATCGCCCAGAAAATTTTGAAAAATGTCAGAACGAGAGTAAAGCAAAACAAGAACGGTACTGACATATTTCACAAGAATCCACAAACTGGATACGTGTAAAAAACGGGGTAAGCCGTAAAGAGTTGACTTGGGTGGCACTCATTCACAGAGACACACAACTACTAACAACATATGTATACAGGTATGTCTTTTTTAAAAATCCACCTCTTGGTCTTGCAGATGCACTAAAGATCCCCTTTTGGGTTTCATTCTTATACAATCTGCTTTCATCAAGCTATCAATCCGGCCGCAATGTCATTTCATGTTGTCGCATATTTTACCCGCTGAGTGAGTGCTTCGTGCAAACGCCGGTAATACGCGAAAAATCCATCATTAACGTTCGGCACTTTAATCGCTGTTGCTAGCGCTGTCATAGTGGCAAATCGTTGCGGAAAATGTGCCGGAAATTCGACATTTTTGCTTGTCATCTCTACTTGCCATTCGTTTTAGATTTTCGCATGAAGCTCAGTGGTGATATGTGTGTTCTTTTCGCTTATGTGTGCTCATATAGCTGAGCGCTGATGTTGATTGAACACGCTGAAAACTTGCTCAACCGTAAATTATGTGTCCTTGCAGTTTGGTAATTTGCAGTCTGTAGTGACACGAGCTTATCACTGAGCGTCATTGCTTACGGCTCATTACTGCCAACGCTTCAGAGTAAAATTGGCGTTTCGAGTGAATGGGGGTTTTCCTTAAACTAACGTCGTGGAAAAATTGAATAAAATATATATTGACAAGATCGCTTGCGAAACTGTAAATGTAAATAAATAAAATGTGTATGTTACAGGACAGGACTGGAAAATGGTGTTGGTTAACTTTTCAATAAGACGAATTTCTACATTTCACATTAAATATTAAATAAAGTTTAAATCGAGTATCATATTGCTGATTGATTCCCATTACTTTTGGTCAGTTTTACTTCTTAAACTTACTTTGTTGAATTCAGCAAAAATAAAATTAGAAGCCGCATTGAGTTTAAGGTGTATGGCCACTATGGCATTTTCAAAAAATCCCAATATCAAATTTAAAAATATAGTGATTTCGAGCGATCAAATATTAAAACCACTTTTTATGCCCTGAATAGAATAAATTAAGTTTGCCACGGAGTTTGTAATACTCTAAAAGAAACATTGGAGATCCTATAAAATATACATATATGTATATAGTACATACATAAGTGATGAGTGCGACGAGTTGAGCCTCTATGCCAGTCTGCCTGTACATAGGCATCTAGTCCCTCAATTTTTGAGCTATAAATCTGTAATTTTACACAAACAGGTATTATTATCTCTTCAAGGAGTTGCTCATTGGTCGGAACTGTCGATATTGGATCAGTATAGAATCTAGCTGCCATACAAACTGATCAGTCAAAATTATTATATATAGATTATTCTTTAAAATAACCCAACAATCTTCGAAGAAATTGTTCAGATCCTTGTAAGAAGAACTTTTTTATTTGGTAAGTTACTGTCACAAAATTTGACAGAGATTAGTCTAGAGAACAACACAACAATTTTCGAAGAAAAATTCACCTTAAGGTAATAATGGTGATCTCTTAGTTAGATCGCGTCCAATTTCTAACCAAGACAGACTCTGTACTGAACTACAATTTGCCCATGAGAAAGGAAACTTGAACTTGATCACAAACAATTAGCCGTCAAACATTTTCTTACTACATCCCGTTACTTAAAACAAATGCCAAAGGAATAAAGAATATAAAATTTACCTATTCTTGTACCGAGTAAAGTTTCATAAACTTTGGCCCCCCTTACCAAACGCTAGCTTTTACTTGGTTAAAGATCATCTTAATACATGTTTGTATATATGCCGTTGAACTGGTGCTAAAATCCAGACACACTTAAGCTAATACCAAGCAAAAAATATAGACACATATGGATATATAAATATATTTATATTATAGTATTTATAGTTTTCTATGGCTACCAGAGCTGAGGTAAAGTGCCGACCGAAGTTGTAGTACATGCAGAGCATTAAAATGATATCAAATAAAAACGGTATAATTTAACGCTCAATTGCAAAATACTTCTCCACGTATGTCAGCTCAATCTCTACTACTTGCCATACGTTGATCCACTGGCCACAGCTGTCGGTGAACATTTTACGGGCAATAAAATTAACAACCAAAACATACATCAAATTCAAGCGCTTAGTTGCAGCACTTTTGTACTCAAACATCTTAATATACAAACATATATAGACTAATCAAAGCCAGCGCAGAAACTTCTTTACTATATATGTAGGTATACATATAAACACAGAAGCACACCTGACAATCAAACGGAAGGAAGCAATAAGAATTTACATAAAAAATGCGTATGCCACAAAATTACAATGAAAACATTTATAAACACAAACACGAATGTATACATATATATTATATAAGAGGTTGGAGGCAGAGAGCCATTCACCCATTAAATAACTGTGCTTAATGTGCATTTGTATTCTAATATAACCATTTAGCAGCTAATGGCCACATATGCATGGCTTGAATGTACTTTTATGTGGGATCCAAGTAACAAAAGACAAATGTATATATGTGCAAAGTGCAAAGAGGCATAATTTGCGTAATGATGTGTTAGTAGCAATTTACTTTCTTTTACACAAACCTGTCTTAAGGGGTTTTAATATAAATGTGTATCATCTAAGTAAATATACACATATGGATACTTATATACATATATATTATATATAAACGCGTGTAGAACGGCAGCACGCCGCAAACAAACAACCTCAGTAATTTCGTTGACCAATGAAGCCTAAGCAAATATACCCAATCTGAACGGAAGGAAGTTTTAACGAAAGAAAAATAAAATATTAAACGAAGAGCAAAAAATAAAAAAACCAACCAACAGAGTGGCTATTTTTTACAAAAATTATGACTCCATTATATTGGTTGGTTTCAGCCATTTGTGGCGCTTTTAAAGAATACGCTCGTTTTAGCATAAATATGTATGTTACAAATTGTGGTAGCCGTTTAAAAATACTACCAGCAAGCAGCGACCAACGAACAAAGGCAGAACGTAAACGGAAGGTAATCTTAAATAGCGTTGAGGGAAAATATACATATTTATACATAAAAAGGATCAAAACAAACAAACAGAACAAAAAATGCAAATGAAAACGAAAAAGGATTACAACAAAACACACACATTTTCAGCTGTTTACTATGAATTCTAGTGGAAAATAACCTTTTTCGTAGTGGCCAACAGCGGACTATTAAGCATTTTTCTTTGCTTTCTCTTTAAATAGCTACAACTTAAATTTATATGCAAGTATTTTTTTTTCTTCATTTCTTTATTAGTGCGACGGTGTTTCACTAAATTTAGCCAATGGCCCACATCTACAAGGCGTCGCCCTGCTAAACATTCCTTACACACATGGCGGCTCGAATTTGTGGGGTGAACATCTGTCACAGAAACGTATACGCAAAAGCGCTGGTCCATTTCGTAAAGGGAAAAAACTTAAATCTTCGGATAAAGAACTATCGGCGACAAGTTTTACATCTGTGGACTTATCAGTTGCAACGCAAGGTGAGCGGAATTTAGAAAGAATAAATACGAGAATAAGAAAGTTCCATATGACATTATTTAATTATATGGTTAATAATAAACCAAAAGCGAATAGGGTATGATCGTCTAAAAAAGGTGACATTTTTCTAATTTTTTTAAATAAACCTACTGCATGAAATGTATAAAAATTTTAGGTTATATATAATTTTATACCACAAATAGGAGTATATTGAATAAACACAAAATATTTTAAACAAAAAATAAATTTGATTTTATGGTCCTAAACTGTTAAAAAATATTATAAATCTGTAAAATATCGCCTATATGAAAAAAAGACTACTGACATATATAAAAATAATAAAATTAATTTTTTTACGAATTTGCATCAATTTTTTTCATATGAACAATGCAGAAAATTTTATGAAAATTTCAATCATCTCAATAGACAGACAGCTAGTTTCCTGACCTTTGCGATTATGTATAATTTTAATTAATAATAAACCCTATAACATAAACAATAAATATAAAAAATATACATATGTACATACATATGTATGTACATATAATCCTTAGACTCACCCTGTGAACTGTTACTTTAAATTAACTGCATATATTAACACTAACGGCACTTCTTCCTGCTTCCATAAAATTGTTGCACATAGCGCTTCGCTTTCCAGGCTATTGCAAAAAACGTAAATAAAATGATCGCACTATAGGAACTTCAACACACGTTTCCTTTTATTTTATTCACGCATTTAACTTATTCACTTATTTTACTTTACTTCGCGAAATTTACGAACACTTCCTCTTTTCTCATTGCGCACAGCCTTTTCTTTCCCTTTCGAGTTGCTTTTAAAAGATGCGCAATAAACTTTGCATACATGCATATTTTCTTTTCACACACAAGAACACTATATTCTTTTTAAATAATAGCATTCACTATTACCTTACAATATAATAAATAACACAAATAAAACTTTTATTGATACTTAACTGCAAAAATTAACACGAAATTAAACTTTTCACTCATTTACGTACGCGAAAAACACACTTTACCGAATATCAAAACCGAACTGACGAAACTTCACTATCGTTATTGTGCCGAGTGCGGCTACTTCCAATACGCGGCGCCATCTTACGAGATATTCGTTTGCGCAGAGGACTTAGCAACGAATGCATTTCAATATATGTACATAACAGCAAACATTTAATTTTTTCAAAAGCACTTCGAACAAGTGAGATATTCACTTTAACTCGGCGTTCACTTGGTAAATGCACTAATTAACAGGTCTTTTTAACAAAATTCACAGCAATTTACACGAAATTGACTAATTCACTCGATTACACAGACGAAAGTCACGCCACACCGGACAACGATTTAAAATAAACTAGTCAAACGGAACTTTGCAAAGTGCAATAAAGAATAACAGAGTGACCCAATATTTTATCAATTCGAAATTATTAAATAACTTTAAAGCCAACCGTTTATTTATATATTTAGAATTATGCTAGAATATGCATAGTTGATACTTATCGTACAATTATGTAAATTCACGTATGCTTATTATAGATCCATACATCATTTTTTAATATTTAGTAATCAAATTTAAGTAAAATTTTTTTTAATATTTCTTTATTTTTTGTTCATTATATCGCCCTGTAGATTTTGGCGATCGTCTGATTGAAGTTATTGGTTTGGAAAATTGTCTACACATGGGTCAGGTGCGCACCGGTTTACGCGCCTCCGGTCGACGTTTGGCGCAGTGTAGTGAGGTCATTATTAAAACGAAGAAAACATTTCCAATGCAAATCGATGGTGAACCATGGATGCAGGTACCTTGCACGGTATGTACAATAAGCAATAAAAGTTAAGCAGTTCAACATTTTTACACAATTCCCTCTATACCGTTTAGATAAAAGTCACTCATAAGAATCAAGTTCCTATGCTAATGGCACCACGTTCCGAAAAGGGTAGAGGCTTTTTCAATTTACTATGCAGCTGATTTCGGCGAAGCGTTTCCGCTAGTAGTTCCATAGGGCAGCCACTAATGGAACGACACCAACAACAACACAAAGAAACCACCGTCCAACACATAGAATAGCTTTAATTTTAATGCATTACAAAGAAGTATGCGGAAAAAGGAAAAGGAAATGAAGTAAACGAACAAAAGAAAAATAGTGATGTCAGTATGTGTGAAACAAAGAAATACAAATGTTAAAGATGTTAAATACAACCTATTACATATACATATAATGTATAAAAATAGCAACAAGTTTTAAAAGCGAAGAACTACAAATTTTAACGCATTCATATAGTGAGCTTTAATTTATTTTATTACAGCATATTTTAGTTTAACTACAAATTGTAATATTTTAGGAAACTAGTAAATTTATTAGAGAAATAATGTTTGTAATAGTGAAATACAATATATATACGATATACAAAAAACTTTGTAGAAATATATGCATGTATGTATATAAAACGCCACTGAGTAAGTTTAACGTTAATTAAAAAGTATAATATTTAATAATAATCAAAATTGCAGAATTGAAATAAATAAAAAAATTATTAATTAATAATAAATTTTTAATTGACGCTTTGATTATATATGTAGTTGCCCAAGTGCTTCAAAGGTTTGACACAAATACAAGAGTCCTAGCCAGCTTTTAATGCGCTTTTTAATTTTCGTAATAAAAATAGGTAATATTTTTAATATATTTAACACTATGTAGCTAACTATTAAATAAACTGTCAGCGAATTTAGTAATGAATATTTTAATGGTCATCTGTAAGAATGTGTATATATTTAAACATATAAATATTTATTAAAAATCACAGCGCAAACTCATCACATTGTTAAAATTGCTTTGCCTTAGGTGTAGTGTTTAAATTTATGTAAATATTTTACAATAAAATAAGCAAATAGCCAATTTTATTTCTAGTCACAATAATCATTTTTTAATGGCCTTAATTAATTTATTTGATTATGTAGTTTAATATGCTTAATAAATTGTAAAATGAAATTATATTAGTAACAAAATATCGTAGAAAAATTTTTATTTTTATTTATTTTTTATAATTTTATATATTTGTTTTATTTAGTTTTTGCCAACTTGACCATTTTTAGTAATTTCTATTTATTTTTTAGTAATAAAACATTTATTAAAGCGCACCCTGTTATCTTTGTGTTTACAATTTCAATGGTACTTTAATTTTCAAACATGGAATTTATACGCAAATCAATATTAGTTCAACATTTGTTACATACTTTACTAAAAAAATTTATTTTGTTTAAATAAAAAGTTGTTTCGATTTATCAGTGCACACACTTTTAATCTTCTTTGCTTTTGGTGATATATTTTTGTAAAAAGCAAAGCAAAAGTAATTTGATACAACCGACATCACGTGTAAATAAATGATATTATGATATTGGTTTATACAAAAGAAATAGAAATGTCGTGAAGGAAAATATATCAGTAAATGGTGCAGCTTTAAAGGAATTTTCAAAGAAACAAATTGCATATTAAGTATACAAATTATTACATAGTACATACTTAAGTAGTTATAAAATACTAATATAATGCATATTTATGTACGTGCATGTGAATATAGTAACGTATATATGAAAGTAAATTAAAGTAAAATTGAAGCTTAAAAACAGAAAAAATAATATTTGCAGAATAAAGGCTATATAGATAAACAAATAATTTTTGGCTATAGTATGTATTTTCATATGTTATACATATATGTGAATGTTTGAAGTACTTAGATTTATATGCCACATTGTTTTAACTATATTTTATTAAGTTAAAAAATATATATATTTGCCATAATAAACCTTTGGGTTCATAAAATTCACATGATAGAATCAAATATTCTGGTGATGTTAAAAACCTCATATCTATTAATTCAGAGTCCTCTTTTTATTTTACCATATACATTTTGAATCAAGACAACCCAAAGCCTCGCTAATTAAATATAATATTGTATAATGTGTGCCCTTCAACTAAATTATTTCAATTTCAATTAAATTTATGGATTTCGATTATAATGCCGTCCGTTTATCCAACTGGTAAGATTAAGTCTTTAAGTGCATAACTTATAAACAAAAAAGTAATAGTTTGACTTTAAATATTTCTGATACAAATCCCAATACATAGGGTTGTAACATATTATTAAAAATACATCATATGTACAATTATTTGCATTCAAAATGTGCTTTTTCGAAATTAAAAAACAAAAAAATATATATATATACATATATACATAACAATCTGCTTAATAATTTTTGTTAAATGTTGTAAATACTTAAATAGTTAAGTAGGTTTACATAGATTTGCATATACTCAATTAAAAACATATGTAGATATATATAGTTACATATATACGTATGTTAGCGGTAGTTTGTAGTCTAGGCATATTGTATTGAGTTTTTAGAAATTATTTCAAACGAAATAAAAAGCATTTTTGAAAACATTTCATATGCGAGCATACACCACACAGCGCATCCGTATAGACATGCATTTCTGCATGTAAATATGTGTGAGTTAGTGTGCGTGTATGCGTTTGCTTATGAAATAGAACACCACAGTAGGAGTTAACATTAATTATAATAAAACAAAAACAAACATACATATTTAAAATTAAAATAAAATAATAGAGAATTATATACATACATACATACAAATATAGAGCTATTTACACATATACATATGTAGTTAAACAATTTGTAGTAAATATATTGAAAAAAAAATTAGATAAAACAAAAAAATGTGTTTAATATATACATACATACATATATGCAACTGTTTCGAGCGTAATGTAGTGTTAGGAAAATTGCAAAATTAAAAAAAAACATATAGAATATGTAGACACAAGTTATTCTTTATTATTTTTCTATATACAAAATATGAAAGTTATTAAATTTAATTTTTTTAAATCAATTTGTTAAATTTTTATAAGTACTAAAAGCTTGCCCTTTTTTAATACATTTGCATTGCTGATTTAGAAGCATTTACTTCATTGTTAACTAATTAATACATTTTTTTAATTATTTAATATATGTATTTGAAAGCAGCATGTTTAATATTATTTATATCAACACGAAAAATAAATATAAGATAGTTTTTGAAGGCGGAAAATAAACCAACAAATACTAATTAATATTAAAAATTTTAATTTCTAAGAAATTAAAAATTAAAAATAAATATTTATTGCAAGCTTTCTTTTTGTTGCAATTTATGCTGCTTTTAATTTTTTTTTATATTTAAATGAAATAATTTATAGGAGAAATATTTTCAAAAATATATATAAACACACAAAAAAATTGTAAAGAATAATAATTAATTGCTGTTGTTTAAAACTGCGGTTATTGCTGCTAAGTCCATATTCAATAAAATAAAAGGAAACGTAGAAAAAAATAAGAATCAATAAATATTTACTGCAATTTAAAAAGAAGATGCCAATGCTTTACCAATGCATTGTGTAATAAAATTTTAAATTTTATATAACTGTATGTTTAGCATGTTGAGATTTGAAGATTAGCAAATTAAATCAAGTTATTGAAGTATTTTGTCATAATTTTATGCGTTCAGTGTTTTGTTGCCAAATCCATTAAAGTACTTATGCTTTCAAAAACTAAGAAATAAGTAGAAATATTGGGAATTATGCATATATAAAGATATGAATCTGTTGTAAGACCAAAATATCTGCCCATTCTCTTAGTTTTTGAGATAACGATGTGAAATTTTGCAAAAGTTCTTTCCTTCGCAAGAAGCTGTTCAGAAGCTGTGATGGGTATTTAAGCGCGCTGCAGCCGTAGTTAACCCTTTTTCTTTTTTTTTTTCTATATTCTTTTTTTCATTTTCATTATTTTTTTATTTTAATTAAGAAGGTAGTTGCATTGGAAGAATGAAAATATCAATTTATTTTTAAGTAGCATTAACTAGTATGACAATTAGGGAAATAATCCATACAAATTCCATATATACTAATAATTGCTTACATATACATATGTATAAGCTAGTGAATGTAATTATATATAAACATATTATATAAATATTAATTCTAATGTTAAAGGAAATTTAATGCACTCTAGCGAATGGAAACCGAATAATAGATTTGAAAGTGAAAAAATAATAAAGAAAATCTTAACATATATAGCTGCAGCTTTTGTTATTAGCTTAAAAATATGTAGAATAAGAAAATGTCAAATTTACAACATTGGTTTGGCATAGCTTGTCGCTTACAATTCTACGAAATTAAATATTTACCTAAACACTAAACTTAAACTGTTTGCTTTTGTTGTGGTTTTGCAGTTAAATAATTTATGTAATTTTATATAACAGTTCCGATTTTTTTTATGTAGTCGTAAATGTTAAAAAATATGTAAAATTACGAAGTATGTATAACAACGTACATACATAGAAATACAATAAATAAATAATTTTAAAAAAAATATTAAAGTCGCAGCTTTATTTAACGTGTGATAACTCTCGAGTAAGTCGCTTTTTAATTGCTTTTTAATTTTTTTAACATTTTTATCGAAATTTATCCCATATTTGGATAGCTAACTCTCAGTATACTGCTTGCCATATTCATTGCTTAAATTCAATTGCACATAGGGTCCCATCAAACTGATGAACGTGAGTATATTATTACGACTGTTACCCGCTTGCGCCAGCAACTCCGCCGTACGGCAGGGATGTATTGCTATATATGGCTTGCCAAGCACGGGGTGATCCAATTGCGTCATAATGCTCAGCATATCCGTAGCGGTGTGTGGAACTGTGCCATCCACACCATTGGTTCTGCTGTCATCGTCGCCGTAGTCACGAAAAATGCGCCAGGCTTCTTCGATACACAACATGCTGCCGTCTAGTAGGTAGATAGTGTTAAATATAAAATTTACAATAATTTTGGTGGTACTAACCATTACGATAAATGCGAAAATACAAAACAGGCACTTGGTAAGAAATACTGTAAACGACGTGATATTCGATTTTGAGTAAATCATTGCTTGGCGGCACCGCGGCAGTTTCCCCTTCTATATAGCAGTTAGTATCTTCCAGAACATCAGTACAACTTTTCTGATCAACAGTGTTCATTATTTTTTGTTCATAAATAAGATATGCATTGCCTTCTTGCTCATCCTATTAATCAACATATATTTTAGTATAATTTGCTTATTTGTATTGAATTTCATAAATAATACCTTCCTATATAAAGTCCATGAGGCATTCAGGCGCTCAGAAATCTTTTGAAACTCCGTAGCTTCCTGCAGAAACTGCTCCCAGTTCAGTGTAACAATTGACATTTTTATCTTTATTAAAACAAATGTAATAAATGATGTAATAATGTAATAAAATGTATATCAAATGTGTGCCTTTTGCTGGTTTTGTTAGCATGTGATAGAGCTAAAATATAAGTATTAAATATAACAAATTTGAATTTTTAGTAAGTATATACTTTATAAACATCTGTTTGGGTGCTATGCGATCAGCTGTTTCTATTTATCATTTTTTTTTTTTTTTGTAGTTTTTATTAAAGCAGAAGAAAACAAGAAAAAATGTTAATTTCGGTTAAACCAAAATACAAAACATTCTATGCAAAAGCTTGATTTTGATCGGTCAGCTTGTATGGCAGCTATAGGATATAGTGTCCCGTTCCGAACAATTTGTTTGTAGCGCTGCCTCCCAACAATAATCCGTGCCAATTGTCGTTAATACATCTCATCAAATAAACACAATTTTTCATACAAGAAATTACATCTATTACAAATTGACCACGGTACATTAATAAAAGAAACTTCCTCATACTCATACACTCAATATATAAAAAAAAATTCAAGTTTGTTCTCAATTTAGTATATTATCAACATTTATTTACTTAAATAGTTGCTATAATTGTCATTGATATTTTTTTCTATAGACGATATGTTTTGTAAGCAGACAAACAACATCTATACCAAGCTTATTATAACGTATACGTTAATATAATTAAAACTTAAACGGAAAGCATATTTAAAATACAAACAAGCACAGCAGCTAAAATGGAATATTATGCCAACCGTTAAAAACCAGGTTTCTACATAGCTGCAGTTAACAACGATTGATTGCTTAACTTAAATACCCACTGCGCCAACTGCAGTTTGGCTAAATATGCAAGAGCGATGAAGATTGCGTGAGACCAACACAGGTGGTCATGTCGTACATGCGTATACTACTATAAGTTTTTCTTTTTAATTTAGCTTTAGCTCCATCTGTCAACCATAAGAATACTAGTGTTTAAATGAAAATCCTCCAACATTTCTACATAATTTTATATGTATTTACGTGAAGAAAGTCTTTTTCACTCTGCTACTTCTTCGTCTTGTACATTTTCCGTTCTACGGATTTGCACCACTGTTACCATTGCGGCTTTGTCATCGAATTTACAAGTTACAGTTACTTCGCTTAATTGAAAGGTGAATATTTGTGAACCATATTTTGTACGCAGATACACAGAACGCGGATCAGCTTCTAAAATGTCTATTATGCATTGCCGATTAACTTGTAGCTCTTGTAATTGGGTTTCAGCGCGCTCATTAAAGCAAACCTTTAAGCGATGACTTCCTGCTACCCAATTGGGTACTTTTACAGCACTCAACGGCGGTGAAATATGGTTAACTAAATTGGGAGGTGTTGAACTATGGTAATTCCCTACACCACCACTGCCACTACCGCCGACAGTATCATCACTACTACTATTACTTCCTCCTGTAGCACCAGCTGCAAGCAATTCAAGCTCTGATTCTTCACCATCCGGCTCTTGACGCGAATCATAAAAATCCAGTGTTTCCAAAGGACCAACAGAAATGCGACCTTTGCATTATAAAACAGAAAATTAAATTGTTTTTTGATTCATAAATGTAGAATAATTACCAGAGTCCATTGGCGAAACTGGTGAATCATAAAACGGTATAAATGGTTTAATATCAAGCAATGGTGTACCATCAACCATATCGGTTCCGTAGAATGTAATCGTTGGTCCTTCCACCTTTTCAATTTCCACCAAGGACAAACCGATTGGGCAGGGACGATGCGGTGAACGTGTGGAAAATACACCCACACGTTCACCACCCAAACGCGGCGGTGCGACCTTGGCCTTCGGATGTGCATTGTTTTTATGAAAATGGTAAATTAGCCACATGTGTGAGTATTCTTCTAAGCCTTCCAATGCGTGTTCTGGATTTGTAAAAGTATCGGAGTTCAACTCCACAATACCACGCAATCGACCACCTACACTCGACTGTCGAGGTACGCCACGTTTTTCCGGAAATGCGGTACGTATCACGCCGATTTGTTGCCAACGCACACCACCCAATGCCTCTGCATTTGAGTCCTGAAATATGTTTTAAAAATAAAACAATGCCAATAATAAATATTTGCTCGGAAAAGTGTTTAACACTTTCATGCCAACAAATTGCATTTACATCTAATTGCTGATTTTGCTTGGGTATTACATTGCTATTGCGGGTGTTTTCCTCTGCAGTTTGGCGACGACAACCCTCGCAGCGGAATTCTCGAAGCAGACGGGCCACACTATCAATATCCTTTCTTTGAACGTGTTGCAAATTGCGCACTTGTTGTCTAATTGCAAACGAAAGAAATAAAAAAAAAATTATTTTAAAACGGTTAACTTTAGCATATCAATTTCATTCCATCATACCTCAATTTGTTGATTTCATTGCGTGCGATGGTTAATTGATTTTGCAGCGCCAACACTTCATTCTCCAACATGATGTTTTACGTGTACAACTTTTACATAAATATTTTAAATAACACCACATTTACTATTAACACCAGAAGAAAATCATAAATTCAGACCGGTAAGTATTTGCGAAAAAATGTGTTCTTTTATTTTTTTATTTTAGCACTGACAACATAAACAGAAAAACTATACCATTCAACCTCTTGCCGGCGGTCAGGGTTGCACAGCAACTAATTCTTTAATAAAGTTCATTTGAAGCAAATTTATTTACCAACATGAAATGTCAAAAAACCAGTAATACTCATCATTAAAATATAAAAACATTACGTCTAATAGTAATAGTTAATTGGCATATATTTTACAATAAACTTACCCGATGGAAACCTTTAACACTAACTACTAATGAGTACTTGCGAACACTACAATTTTTGACATTAATACTCTGGAAGACGTTTATTAAACGTCTTTCCGGCTAGATTCTATGTATTATAGTTTTGGCAGGTTGTCTCTTTCTACGCTACCTCTTATATGTGTACCCTATTGGTTTTGTTTTGGTTAACAGTATGGCTATATGTGCAAGTGATTTGCTTAAAACCAAGTACCCGTTTGCTTACAACATCAACACTAACATTGTTTTTTATCAAAATTCGTTAAAAACTAATCACCTGTGATTCTTTCTGTTCAGAACACAAACAAGAGTGCCCCAATGAACATTGAACTTCAAGAGGAATTTTAAAATTATTTTGATTTTATCTTTGTTATAAAGAATGAGAATTAACGGGTGAGTACATACATATGTATATTGTAGAAATTGCAGTTCACTTTAAAGATGTTTCGCATTCCATCATTTGTAGGACACTACGTGGTAAGACGATATTTATAACCGGCGCCTCCAGAGGAATTGGAAAAGCAATAGCATTAAAGGCTGCACGCGATGGTGCCAATGTTGTGATAGCAGCAAAAACAGCGGAGCCCCATCCAAAGTTATCTGGCACAATTTACAGTGCAGCAAAAGAAAGTATGTGATTGTTTAAAATGTGATATATAATAATTCGTTAATATCATACACAGTTGAAAATGAAGGCGGCAAGGCTCTGGCATGCATTGTGGACGTCCGAGACGAACTGCAAGTACGCAAAGCAGTTCAAGCTGCTGTGGAAAAATTCGGTGGCATCGATATTCTGATCAATAATGCCAGTGCAATTTCATTAACACCCACACTTGAAACGGATATGAAACGTTACGACTTGATGCACAATATCAATACAAGAGGCACTTTTTTGGTGTAAGTAATTAAAAATATGCTCCTACCATTAGTTATATTCAATATTAAAATATTATTCATGCAGCACGAAGGAATGCTTACCATATCTACTAAAAAGCAAACATGGACACATTTTGAATATATCACCACCGCTCGTCATGTCACCACATTGGTTCAGTACTCATGTAGCGTATACTATGGCTAAGTATGGCATGTCAATGTGTGTACTTGGCATGGCAGAAGAGTTCAGAAGTCAAGGCATAGCGGTGAATGCGTTATGGCCACGTACAGCTATCTATACTGCAGCTGTTGAAATGTTACAAGGAGCGGAAGCTTCTCAATATTCACGCACACCTGAAATAATGGCTGACGCGGCATATGCAATACTCTGTAAAGATCCAAATACCTGTACCGGCAACTTCTTTATTGATGAAGAAGTCTTAATTGAAGAGGGTGTGCAAGACTTAAAACGATATGCTTGTTTCCCCGAAAACGCAGACAATCTAATATCGGACTTTTTCCTACCAGAGAAATACATTTCGAAATTATAAGCTAACACATTTTAAAATATCTGTTTTTTTATTTGTAATAATTTGGTGGAATATAAATATATCTATATGCACATATTTCTACTTCTGAGAAAAAACAAATTTTTATTGTCTTATTATCCTCTATAAAGTATATGATATACATATATATCTCTTTTCGTAAATAAGATATGTACATATGTATGTACTCACAGAAGACTGTACTTCGTATTGTTTTTTTTGTTTTTTTTTCTTAAAAGCTTTTTTCGTTATCTTCACCTGTATACTTTGGCCTCTTTACAACAACCTGTTCATAGCTACTTTTGTTTTGTTAGCTATAAGATCAGTTGTATTCACCGAAGGCTTGCGAGCAGATCAAATTATTTCCATAAATCAGTATGCAGAACGTTGGGTAAAAAAATGTTTTTTGCGCTTTAAATATTCATTAATTTTATAAGTTAGCACTTTACGAGGTAAGACGTTATTTATTACGGGAGCATCTCGTGGAATTGGAAAGGCAATCGCGCTAAAAGCTGCGCGAGACGGTGCTAATATTATAGTGGCAGCCAAAACAGCTGATCCACATCCCAAGTTGCCGGGTACTATTTACACAGCCGCAGAAGAAAGTGAGTAGTTACCAGAGGAAGCCACCACCTAATGACTTTATATTATGCAAATATACATACATATATTCTAATAGTTGAAAAAGTGGGCGGTAAAGCATTGGCATGTGTTGTTGATGTTCGTGATGAGGCGCAAGTACGAGCTGCCGTGCAACAAGCCGTAGCTAAATTTGGTGGCATTGATATTCTTGTCAATAATGCCAGTGCAATATCATTAACTTCTACTTTGAAAACTGACATGAAACGTTACGATCTCATGCATGGTATTAATGCCAGAGGCACTTTTTTGGTGTAAGTTATAAATCAGCACATTTAATTTATATTAACTAAACACTTTCTTTCACAGTTCAAAGGAATGCTTACCTTATTTACTGAAGAGCAATCATGCCCATATTTTGAATATTTCACCACCACTTACGCTAACCCCTAGATGGTTTGCTTCTAATGTGGCTTATACGATGGCTAAATACGGTATGTCAATGTGTGTACTGGGTATGGCTGAAGAATTCAAAGAACGCGGAGTAGCAGTTAATGGGTTGTGGCCCCGCACAACGGTCCACACAGCAGCAATTGAAATGTTGCGTGGCCCTGAAGGTGCTAAATATTCGCGTAAGCCGGATATAATGGCAGATGCTGCGTATGTAATACTTTCTCATAAACCTAGTAAGCACACGGGTAAATTCTATATCGATGACGAAGTACTAAGTAAAGTTGGAGTAAAAGATTTCACACAATATGCTTGCTATCCTGAAAACGCCGATAAACTGGAGCTGGATGGATTTTTGCCAGATAAATATTATAAATCTAAGATGTATTAACAAAAAATTTAGTTAATAATTTTATAAACATACAATTTTTGTATAGAATCTATATGCTTACCAATTTACGAGATCCCAAAATTAAGTTTGATTTGTCATTTAAGTTGGAGTGTGTTAGTTTTGTTGGAAATTGCAAAAATTTTGAAAATTGAAATAAAGGATCCAATTTAATTTAATACTCGTTACAGTTATTTGTAGGTCCCAAATAGTCATTCATTAAAAAATTGCATATGGCATCACCGCATATAAATGAAATGACAGCAGTGGTGGTTGAGTATGAAAATTGTGAATATTATATGACGAAAAGAAGAAGCAGATTAACAATTTGCTGGTCATTCGAAGAATTTTGTTTTCTATAGGTAATTTGCATCATTTATATTTCATTGGACATCAATATTTTAAAATTGAGTGTTAATATATACCAATACAAAGAATATATATTTTGTAACTCTTAGGTATTTAATTTGTGCAGTCAAAACCCAGAAAAATGTCGCGTGGTAGTTCAGCCGGCTTTGATAGACACATTACCATTTTCTCGCCCGAAGGACGTCTCTACCAAGTGGGTAAGTAGCAAATAATAAGGCGAATAAAAAAGTCTAGTATTTATATTAATATATTATTTTGAACAGAGTACGCCTTCAAATCCATTGATCATGAAGGTCTTACATCGGTAGCATTAAAGGGCAAAGATTGCGCCGTAGTAGCTACTCAAAAAAAGGTAGCCGAAAAGCTGATTGATCCTGAAACTGTAACACATCTATTTCGCATTACCAAAAATATTGGTTGTGTGATGACAGGACGCATATGTAAATAGTTACATTAAATTAAAATTGAGTTTTTTGTTTTATTTAAATATACATATTTTTCATTTTAGCTGACAGTCGATCACAAGTACAAAAAGCGCGTTATGAAGCAGCAAACTTTCGTTACAAATTCGGCTATGATATACCAGTAGATGTGCTGTGTAGACGTATTGCCGATGTTAACCAAGTGTACACGCAAAATGCTGAAATGCGTCCTCTAGCATGCAGTAAGGATTACTAATATAAAATTTAAAGCAGATATGTATACATTAAAAAAAATTTTTTTTTAATTTCAGGCATGGTTCTTATCGCCTACGACGACGAGTTGGGACCTGCTGTATATAAAACTGATCCTGCGGGCTATTATTGTGGATTAAAAGCTGTTGCTGTCGGCGTGAAACAACAAGATGCTAGAAGCTATTTGGAAAAGAAATACAAAAGTGAATTGTCGACAGAAAAAGCCATACAGCTAGCGATAACTTGTCTATCCCAAGTTCTACAAGTAGATTTCAAACCAAATGGTATTGAAATTGGCATTGTCACCAAGGACAGTCCAGAATTTACGGTGTTGGCAGAAAAAGAAATCGAAGATCATTTAACAAAAATAGCAGAAAAGGACTAATTTTAATAATGGAAATTTTTTACTTTTCGAATTAAGATTTGTTTTGGTTTCTTTGGCTACAATCTTTAGCAAACTAGCCAAAAATATAGCAGTAAAAGTAAAAAATATACTTTTTGAAATGAAATTTAATTGACAACTGAACGGCACAGTAGAGTTTAATGAAGGAAATTAAGAACATTCTAACAAGTTTTCTTGTTATGACTAATGGCAAAATTTGGTTTACAATCAGTATTTCTGACCAAGGTACCAATGAACAGGCACTCAAATAGGCTTGTACAATGTAAGGCACATACCATGATTAGCGCTTTTAATGAATTGAGTAAATTGATTAGGAGAGCATAAAATCTATCCATACTCTCATCGATTTTTCTTCAAGGTGGTCGCACACATCAAATTAATAATTGCTTGTATTAGTTGGTGTAAAGCTTTGGAATGTATTTAATACTTGTAAAAATGTTTTCGATAAGAATTGAAACATTGAGTTAAATATTTAATTTATAACTTCATTGGTATTATAACGAGCAACAAAGGCCCTTACGTCAAATTTACGCTGACATCCTTTGTAATTCATGTAACGGATCTTACCAAAAATTGCTCTATTGCGATAGGCACCATCATGTAAACCACCAATTGAGAACATGCAACCTAAAATCACAGTTAATTAGATATTATTCTCTATATTTTCACAATATATAGCGGAAAATATTATCAAAAATATATTCGGGTATTTCAGAATAAAAAAAAATAAGAAAAAGTGAAAACTCACCCACATAACCGTTGGAATCTCTGCCATCTAAACTATATTTGTCGTTTAAATAAATTGCAATTTCTAGCGCCTCTTCTGGTGAGTTGGACCATTCCAGTATCTTTTTAGCCCAATACTTACGAAGAAATCCGTGCATTTTGCCTTCACGAACCAGTTGTATTTGAGCAGCATTCCAGAGGTCATCATGTGTATTTGCTTGTTCGAATTCTGAAAGTTGATAGGAAGGATTGCGCTCATCATAACGGTGTTCATCAAGTGTATTAAATGCCCATGAATATATCCCCTTAAGATTGTCATAGTTTTTATTGTAATAACAGAAATTGTCCGCCAATTCGCGATGAATAATTGCCACTTCACAAAAGGCTTCCACAGATTTTTGGCATTTAGATGAGTATCGCCTTACTTCCAGAGCACAGCGTTGTGCGGAAATTTGGCCTAATATTAAAATATGTACATATTTATAAATAAATAAAAAAAAATTTTTTTAATTTACCAAAGCGAATCCATGGTGATAACCCTGATAATGCATTTACTGTTGGGTCATCACGTTTTTCGCCATAAATGGGTAAACGTTTAGTACAAAAGCTCTGCAATTGCTCACATGCCGCGGTATAACCCGATTTTGCCCACTTTACAACACCCACCGAGCAATCACCATCAAACCAATTTCGGGCTTTCTTCCAATCTGCACGTTTAATATTGAAAATATTCTTATTATGTGGATGTTTTATTACTGGTGGAAATTCTGTAAGATATTCATCCAATATTGGGTAAATCCTACGACGCATATAAAAAGGCACAAACTCTTGTTTATGGGAAGTTACCCATAATGGCACTATATTGTGTGCATCAACCTGGGTAAATGGTATGTCGACAGGTAAAAGTAATTTGACTTCATCGACGTGTTGTTGGTGCTCGCGTAAGGGCGAAAAATCACAAACAACAGCGGAGATTTCATGCAAGCGTACAAATTCTATTAAACAACAGGCTGCTGCTCCAAAGCATAAGTGCAAAGGAATTGATAGCTCATGTAGTTCGTATTCTAGTTCTTCTAAACCACTCAAAAGGAATTCATATTGCCGCTTTGCAATATTCGCATCTTGCGGTGTGATACAAAATATAATTATAAGTGGAAGTTCAAATTTCAAAGCTAGACGTTGTGCAAATAATAATGCCCAATTGTCTTGCACCCGCGCATCACGTAACATCCAATAGAGTATACCGCCGCATTGGACTTCACTTACTTTATCCTCGGAACTTAATACACGAACACGCTTCTTACTAAAAGGAAATTCAGATATACTCTTTGCTGTGGATAAGCGCCTTTGCATAAGTGAGTGCTTGGAAATGACAAGTTGTGGGGATATATCGGTGGAAGGATCTGATATGTTCTCTTCTTCACTTGAACTTGGAGACTCATCTTTACTGCGTAAATTATACTTTTCCTTCGAACGCTTCATTCCAATCATAATAGCTGAAATAGGGTAGTGGATAGTTTATCACCTTTTGTTTAATGGATTATTTGCTCTGCTATTTGAATTGTTTTTACAAAATGTTATTCAAATGCGCGCTTTGTTATTTCACAACCATGTAGAATACTTCATTAGATATCATAATATATCGATTGTGTTCCTTTAACGTTATCGAAATAAATTTATTGGTTCCATTGATAATGGTAGTATAAAAGCTTTATGATGAAAATCTCAACAGTACAATTACCTAAATTTAATATTTAAAATTAAATATCAAAATTACAATTTGTAGATGGGTTGGGAAAATTATATTAGTCATCGTTTTCCGACTCTTAAAAGAGTTCGTTGGCATAATAATCGATTGTAATATGTGTCTTGCAAAAAGCTGTCACCCATCCTTAACTTATTAAAGCAGTTCCGACTTATTGGAAAACGAAACGGGCGAGTAAAGAATTTCCGGACGGATTTAGTGAAAAAATAAAGTGCTTCACGTCTCAAAGTTTAAATTATTTAGTATAAAAAAGTGTAATCAGTGTGTTTGAAGTAATGAAGAACAATTCCTAGTGTCGTTCACAGAATATAGAAACGCGTATTTCCGCTTCCGTTAAGTAACGTGATTCGTAATTTAATCTATTTATTCGTATTTATGTTAATTGTTAATTATAGAATGATCAGAATAATTAATGTTACATCCATACAAACATGATTCCATAGAATTTACATGCTTGAGAATCTGAGCTGAAGTTATATTTTTACAAATTTAATAATTTATATTCCACAACAGCAGGATGAGAGTTTATAATTAAAGGAAACCGCTCCCGGAAAGTTCGCATTTAAAATAAGTATTATTGGTAAGCACGTATGTATTTGAAAAATTATAGCTGGTCTTCTGCATGTTACCTTTCCATTAAGAATGTGATATCCCACAAATATGGAAATATGTTGTTTTCATTATCGAAAAATTGTTATCGATATTTTATATACAAATTTAATATCAGTTTTGCTCAAAATTATAAATAATTGTTTGGTCATATAAAAAATCGAAAATACTTACGAGCCCGTTCAATTTCAGACTAATGACACATCCATCTTTAGAAATTTTAGTTCCGACTTATTGAAAAACGAAACGGACGGATGGGATGGATGTGGATTTCCGGGCGGTTTTATTCAGTGATTAATGATTTATGGTTTAAAGATTATATTCTGTACATCCTTTATACTATGTTTAAAATAATTTCATGTTCAAAAATCTATTTACATATGTATAAATTTGCTACTATTTTCTAAAAAATTGCATAGGAAAATTCCATTGCACGAATAACAGGACTTATTTTCAATGGAGACATAAAATGGCGTTATTTCTACAAGTGGAATAACTGGATTGTGTAGTAATGATAAAGCGTACGTGATCCACAAAATGGCGGATAAGCGTGAAGAGGCAAAATTAATCTTGGGAAAGCTTTAAATTAAAGTTAAATATTGAAATATTAGGCAAAATGAAAGTGTAGTTATTGTGAGTGAATAAATATGTATATGTGATTAAAATGCAAGTGTAGTAATTGTAAGCGTATAAATACGTATTTCTAATTTTTCAGCATACATACATATGCTTTTAAATACATAAAGAAATTCCTATTATCTACTCATGTAAGTGCGTATGTTAAAAACAATTTTATAAAACATGTGTGAGCCTAACAGTTGCATCGAAAAGTAAATTTTCAGAGGATTTATTACTATATAGCAAACAGCTTTCGGTAAGTGTGCAAGTAAAGTTTCTATTTTATAGTAGTATTATTTATAAAGTTTTTAAAATTCATATTTATAACACATTTCTCACTATGACAAGTCCATAGATAGCTACTCGTAGCATAAAAGTTATTCCTTATATTATTGTATATCCCATTTAGTGCACAATTGTGCAGTTGCGGTCCACTTAAATAATTCAGTTTGAATTAACTACCATATGAAATAAAAAATCAAATATACATTTCCTCTATCTTTTAATTGCAGTAAATAACTTTAAAGCTACAAGTGAAAAATGCGCTTATGTGCACCCATATACATGCGTATGTATGTATATGTAATAAAAGTACGAAAATACATTTAATTTTTCTATTAACGATTAAGGTACATGTGTGTTATTACATACATCCAGCGAGATATATAAAAATAATAAAAACCGCTATTTAGAATTATGTACTTTGCTACCATAACGAGCCACAAAACCCGCAACATCGAATTTACGCTGACATCCCTTATAATTCATGTAACGTATTTTTCCAAAAATTGGTCGTTCCGCCCATCCTTGATCATGCACGCCCCCAATTGACCACATACAACCTGTAAAGTTATTGTTAGTTTACTTGAAATCTCCTGATACCAATCTTTGAACTCACCAACATATCCGTTTGGATCTAAACCATCTAAACTGTATTTATCATTCAAAAAAATTGCTGTTTCTAAAGCAGCATCAGGCGTAGAAGACCACTCCAGTATCTTTTTTGCCCAATACATACGCAGAAAACCATGCATTTTGCCTTCATGTAACAACTGCAGCTGCGCTGCGTTCCATAGGTCATCGTGGGTACGAGCTTGCTCAAACTCGACCAACGTGTAAGCAGGTGAGCGCTTATCTTTACGATGGTCTTCTAAGGTTTTAGCTGCCCAAGCATGTAATCCTTTTAGACTGTCGTAATGTTCATTATAATAACAGAAATTATCCGCTAATTCACGTCTTACTATAGCTTCTTCGCAAAAAGCTTCCACTGATGCTTTATATTTCGATTTTAGTCGCATTACTTCGAGAACACAGCGTTGAACAGAAATATGGCCTAAATAAGAACAATACAAAAGGGTATAAGAAATCAATAGCAAATATTACCATAAATATCTAATATAGTTGAAGCTAATATAATATTTATTTACCAAAATGGAACCACGGTGAAAGTCCGGATAACGCGTTTATAGTGGGATCGTTTCGCTTCTCATTAAAAATTCGTAAACGTTTTGTACAAAAGCTCTGCAATTGTGCGCATGCAGCAGTATATCCTGGCTGTGCCCAATCAACTTCATCTACTGAACGATCGCATTGTAAAGCTGCCTCAGCTTCTTGCCAATTTACTGGGTCGTAATTTGAAATTAAGCTCTTATTGTGTGGATGTTTTATAACGGGTGGAAATTCTGTAAGAAACTCTGATAGTTTCGAATTAATTTTTCCACGTATAGTGCGCGCACCATATTCTTGCTTATCGGAGGCTACCCATAATGGCACCACATTGTGTGCATCCACCTGTATAAAGGGAACTTCAATGGATAGCTTCTCCTTTACATCTTCAACCCACTGCTGTGGAACACGAAGTGGTGTAAAATCACACACCAGTGCACTAATTTTGTATTTATTTACTAACTCTGGTAAATGATCTCTAGGCGAGCCAATACGTAAGTGTAAGGGTATACTCAGCTCTCGGCATTCACGCTCCACTTCTTCTAAGCCCCCGATTAAAAACTTATATTGACGCAATGTGGCATTTAAATATTTTGGCACAAGGCAAAATGTGACTAAAAGTGGTAATTTCAGTTTTAGAGCCAAACGTTGACTGTATAAGAAGGCCCAATTGTCCTGAACGCGAACTTCACGCGACATCCAATACAATACACCACCGCTGCGCGATTCAGACACTTCCTCGACGGAATTAAGTACGCGTACACGTTTTTTGTTAAAACTAAATTCAGCAATGCTTTCAGCTGTTGCTAAACGGCGTTGTTGTAAAGATTGCACTGTAATTGTAGTGGACGCTGCCTTTTCGTTAATACCAACTTGTGAAATACTGTCATTATTCGTATCAACTCCACTAGAAGCAGCAAATTTGGTTTTCTTGGGCTTTTCTACCGCATTGGATGCGCTCTTAACACGCTTCATTTTACTTATATACTTGGTTTCAAGAGAAGAAAACTTTCTGTTTGATGAAATTTGTTTAATTGCAAGAGGGAATGCAATTATTGCATTTTAGTTTTAGAGAGGAGAAATGAGTTGTTTTGATTATCGGGAATATGTTATCGATTTTCTAAATTTAATGTTTTAAATTCATTTAAATTGGACAACATACTTATCGAGTAAACGTGTTTCGTCCTTTCCAATTTGAATTTCCAGCAAAATTCAAAAATTTAATATGGACGTACACATGTATGTAGGTATGGACAATACCACCAAAGTTTTTGATGAAATTATGTCGTTGTAATGTCACAATAATTAAAACTGTTACATTTAATGAATGTGAAATTATAAAATAATGAAATGCAATAAAAGCCAATGTAAGCAATCGTCTTAAATTCATGTGTCATTTGCAATCAGATCAAGCACAAAGCTACTCCGACAAACATAGAATATAAACCGACTCAAGTTCTTACACTTAACTGTTCGACGGATAATATCTCTGTTATATACTCAAGTTATTTCGTTAATTCAGCAATGAATTTCAGTAATGAATTTAAAAAAAAATAAGAATTATTTAACAGTTTTCAAGATGCATGCAATTGCATTGGATCTATTACTGGTGTTCGTAAAAATTTTTAATATTCACTACGATGGTAAAACTGTGATTGTGAAAAGGAATCGCATAAAGCATCGCTTGCTGCCTGTACGAAAAGTACTAACTTACTTTATGCTGTTATATATATTAACTTACATTTGTATTGCGTTTTTCTTTACCAAGTTGCGCATAGTGATGCCAAAATATGCGCAGTCTTTAGATGAATATGCCTATGTAAGCCAATTGGAATATAACGTAAAATTAGGAGTCTCGATTATTTTATTAAAAATATTAATGGTTTCTTTTCCGTTGTCACATTGGTTGAAGAATAACAACAAAAAATTAATAATAACGTAGCTAAATGATGTGTTAAAAATACGCCAAAAATTAAGCAAACGTAATATCGCAATCGATTTTAATAATTTACCGCCATATTGCAATATCCTCCTTCATCTGCAATTCCGGTTAATCATTTCGAATTTATTGAACAATATACGGGTGCTTTTTAAGTTCGAGGATTTGCTCAGTATTATTACGGACTTTATCTATGATTGTTACTATGCTTCGCTCTACCTTAT